CCCCGCCCCGCCCGCGCCGGCCGGCGCCTCGCCGGGCGCTGCCGCCCTGGCCCGGATCGAACCGGATGGAACCGGAGCGAGCGGCGCCGGCACCGGGACCGGCGCTGGGCCGGCCTTGCCGCTCCGCTTCGCCTTCGGTTCTGCCCTCTAGAGTGCCCCGTGTCCCGCCTCCCCTGCCAGGAACGAGCCTCACAAACGCGCTCCCTTCTTCCTCAATAAAGTCCGGTTTTCTTTTCTTTCTCCTTTTTTTTTCTTTCTTCTGACCTAATCTAGTAAGACTGGAAGAAAACCGTGATAAAATCCAGCGTTGGCAACGCTCCAGAGGCCTTTACGTCGCTTCCTTGCGTTCTCAAGTTTTATGTTTTAGGAAGGTGCTCAAGGCTTTCAGTGCAAATATTTTCRTTTAAACTTCGTTTTTCTGAGTTAAACGTGAAATTGGGAAGTGATCGCTTGAGCATAAGAGATGGAACTGGAAGGAAAAAACAAAAACATGAGACCCAAAACAACCCCCAAAACACTGTTTCTTGAAATATATCAAAGATTTTGCAGGACAGGAAGAACTGAAGACCAAAACAGTAGTTTTTGATAGAGTAGTKTTTTTGTATTATTAGGTTATTATTTTTATAATTATTTTGTGACATATTAGTGGTTCCACCCTAAGTATGCAAAAATTATAATGAAGTCTTTYTTCCTATTTTAACAAACTCACATACTAAAACATAAGTTGAACTCTTAATRTTTCAGAGACTTCTGACGAGTTGTTCTGGCAGCAGCCGTGAGTCACGGGGACCTTTTATATCAACAAGCCGATAATTGCCGTTATTTTCCGCCTGTTCCTCAATGTCCTCTGCAGAGCAAGACGGAAGATCCCCAGTATAAAGCTCTACATTTAAAACAAATGCACAGATGCACATATATATAAAACATATRCTCAAATGTATGGGGTGCTCATTAAGCGCTTGTCCATGTGGGAATTTCCAGATTTAATCCAGAGGGCTCCAGCAATGAGTGGTGCTGGATGATCCAGGCGGTATCTGACGGTATCTCGGGAGCTACCATAGCATGACAAAAATGCCGTTCTTGGCTGGAGGATGTGGTCACAAAACGTGGTTAAAATGCAGTTTGTTCCTACTTACACTACCAACACAGAATAGCACGGAGCTGGTTTGTATCCGATAGGATTTACGGTACGGTCGGTCTCTAATCAAYACCCACAGCATCACTGTTAGCATAGCTGTCTTCCTTTAGGCCTCTATCTATACGCTTTGCTTTGGGGTGTCTCGGGGAGGCGCTTGACCACGGGGCGCTTTGGGGCACCCCAGAGAGAAGCTCTTTGCAGGGATGAGGAGTTGGGAAGCTCTGGGATAATCCATTGTCCCGGCGTTGATCCTGCTGGGCGGGAGGGCTCCAGCGGGCGCAGCTGCAGCAGGAGCAGCCCAGGATAAGCGAAGATCAGGGGGAAAGACACAACGAGCGATGCGTGAGAAGGACGGAAGGGAGGGAGAGGCAGAGAAGTTGTGTTGTGTAGCCTGAGGTCTCTTGTCCGGTGCCTCCTGCCTGGTGGGGCAGCAAAAGAGATCATGGAATCATAGAATCGTTACGGTTGGAAAAGACCTTTGAGATGATGGAGCCCAACCATGAGCCCCTCAAACACCATCCTGCTAACCCGTGTCCCCAGGTGCCTCATCCGCACGTTTCCTGAGCGCTGCCGGGGACGGTGGCTCCACCATGTCSCTGGGCAGCCTCTTCCAAGGCTTCACTGCTCTTTCCCTGTAKWTATTTTTCCTCRTATCTAACCCGAACCTCCCCTGGTGCAACTTGAGACCATTTCCTTAGGGGAGAAAGAAGTAAAGGAGAGTTAAATTTAGGGAATAGGAAGAAAGCACGCTGTATTGGTTTATTCATCCTAACCAGCATCATTCTGACACTTACTTTACACTCATTWATATTGTGAAGTTCAGTGTTTGTGGACACTTGGTCATTCTGAGATAAACCRTGCTTCAAGGATGGAAATGTAGCGTGTGGTTGCGAGCTCCCAAGCCTATATTTACATCGCTGCCCCCAGTTCTAATGATGCAGAACGCACAGGGCAGGGAGATTCAATCCTGAGGGCAGGAAGGGCTCTTGCCGCAAAGGCTGCCGAGCAGCCTGGGCTCGGGCTGTCTGCGGTTCCTCGTCGCAGCGCGGGGAGCAGTGACGCCGCTCAGGCAGCTGCGGGTGGGCTGGCTACTGCGTCACGCTGCTAACGCGGGCTCGTGACGAAGGGCTTCACCTCAGGCGTCCTCGGGCCGGAGGACGGAGCTGCCTCCGCTCGGTGCCCTCGCCGCCGTGCGCCACGTACCGCGGGCGCTCTTAGGAGCAGTAGTCCAGAACAGGCAGGCACAGTAGTCAAAGTGGAATGGATTCCAAGGTGCTCCCTTCTCTCTTCTGAGTGCTTTTCATGTATATGTATATACATATATATATATTCACATATATATATTTTCATATATATATATTTTCATATATATATTCATATATCAAAGCAAATGGATGGTAAATATGAGGAGTTTGTCCCTTAAAACAGCTGGCAACTATTTGGAGAATTAAATCTCAGAAATTCTTAAACTTTAGGAGAGAAGGTAAACCAAACAGCAAAAACACTAAGCTTTCCTAACYGCATCATGTGCTCATTCTGAACTCAGTTGTTTATTCAATCAGCTACTACTATATGTAAGAATGTATGAGACACGGAGTTAAAACCATAGTGATAATGTAACCAGGAATTCTCTGCTGTTTTCGGAATATATATAGATTCCTCAAATATATATATATAAGAATATATAAAATATATATGGAKATATATATATATTCCCCCCAAATCAGACGTATATAAGATTTCTAAGGGATCAGTGCATCCAGGTGAACCTGTGCACTGCGTGGAGCGAGTCTCTTCTCAGGCCACCCTCTTGGCACCTTCATCCTGTGCCTTAGTCTGTCCCCATCTCAACCCGCAGCTTCAAGACTGCTCGGAAAGGTTTTCCTGCTGCGAATTCCTCAGGTGAATCTCTGAATTAACATCCTGCCATCTGTATGTTAACTAGATGTATCCTTTAAACACGCACATATAGAGCACATGTGCTGCTATGGTATGTCTCAGTGGAAGGCTGGTGCCCCGGGCTTTGTTTACGGTGGCAAGCCTTGCACTTCATTAATGCGGGTCAAACAGGAAGGCGAGGGTGTGCTTAAAAGAAGTCGTAGCTGTTATCTGTCACAGCCTATTTTTGGGGCGGTTATAAATAGTCATTGCATGTCATGTAATGCATGTATGTATATTCATCGTGCTATTCTGGGATATTCAGATACAAATGGCTTTGTAATCTCCTGAACGAAGCGTATCCGGAGGATCGTGTTGCTCGGAGCTCTCATACGAATCCTGCCACATGAAACGGTTCTCAGAAAAGCCCAGCTGCCGAGACCGTGAAAGGTGGCTCTGGAGCCGCCTTCACAGCGAAAGTATCTCAGGAATTTGCCATGAAATAAACTTGAAAGGAAAAATTTCCGTCTTACTCCGGTTTCCTGAGTTTTCTATCAAGCTTCAAAGGTGACTCGATTTCATGTGTGTGTGAATTAAAGTGTCACACCTCCTGACGCTGCAGAGCTGTAGAACTGCTGCTCGCCAAACAAAATCCAAAACCACCGACCACACATTTCCCATTTGCAACCCAAAGAAACACTGCAAACAAAAGCAAACAGAAAAAGGAGGGAAAAGCTGATAGGAGAAGGGCTACGTTGGAGAGTGAAGGACATGTTAACTGAGATATCTGGGTCCGAAACACACATTTCCCGGACCATTTATTGGCTCCTTGCTGTAGTTGTCGGCGTGCAGCCGGCCCGGTTTGCACGCCCTGGCCGGCAGGAGCAGAATCGGAACGTTTCTCGGGGCAGGACCGCGGCTTTGGCCCTGAGGCCTGGCCCCGAGGTCCGGGAGCTTTATCAGCCGGGCCGCAGTTGCTGCTCCTCCTGCCACCCCGGCAGGGAACTGAGCAGCAGGACGGCGTGGGAGCCCCACCAGGAAGGACTTTTAACACCGAGGAGGGCATCGTATGATCTAAAATACAAACGGAGACTATAATAAAGGAGAAAGTGTGATCAAGGCCAGTGTACGTCCCTTCCTGGAATGCAAGGCCTTAGGAGAGAAATACTAAAATTGTGATGAACTTTTATGAGTTTCACATAAAATTAGGAGGCTTATCAATGCAAAACTGCACATTCTTGATAAGAGGAGTAGTAACAGTGGAATGAAATTCAGTGGKGCAAATAAGGTTGTGCACACATGGGCTAAGAGCAAAAACATGATAAACCGGGAGCTCATCAGTTGGAAATACTGGGAAGGGGGAATGTCCTGGCTGCTCGGAGGATGGCAGCCGTCTCAAAGTGTGATCCAAACATGAGAAAAAGAGGAGCCTTCAGATGCGTTAGGCATTTCCAGCTGGGAGSAGGGCTCAGGCCCAGCAACATGCAGTAATGCTGTGTTCAGTTCCCGTCACGCGCATCAGGACCATGGAAGAGGCCACAGAGGACAYGGTGATGATKGGGGGACCAGACGCGCAGTCCTGCAGGTGGGGATTGCCCCTGTAGTGCTAGAATGAAGCACGGAGGAGACAGAGCCACTGCCAGTTACTACAGAGCAGACTGAAAGGAAGAAATAAGAGAGGGAAGTTCATCCCGYGTTTCCTCGGTGCAGACCACCAGGCAACGTTCCCAATGTTTCACGAGGTGGGATGCACACGCGGCCCGGCTCCACGCGGCTGACGGCTGCCCCTTTGGGGCTGTAATAAGGAACGAAGGCTGGAAAGTTCTGCGTCCGGCTACCGGCTCTGATCCCCTCCATCCTCACCGCGGTTCCTCGGTACGCTAGCACTTGCTGGCCTTATTCCTGGGAAAGGAATGCCTCTGAGTTTGTTTTCAATCCATTCAGTAAATTCCGGTGATCCATTCAATGATGTCAGCTTCCACAAACTGCACAAATTACGTCCTTGCTACGTCGACATGCTTTACGCTCCARCGGGAGACGTTCGCTATCTGTTGACACGCAAAGATATTTAGTGTTCACTGAAATGTGCTCTAAAAATACCGCCGGGTTTAGAGGCTGGAGCGCGGCGCTTCGCAGGACACAGTCGGAATGACAACAACACACCGCCATGGCAACACTGCACCCGCTACAGTCCGCCGGGAAGGGGGGTAGTCGCAGGATCATGGACAACGCGGAATGGATTTGAAGCCTTAAAACTGTAGGAAACAATATTCAAAGTGGCAAGAGCTAAATATGTTTTCCAATCGGGAATATCTGGTTTCTCTGCTTAGAGAAGTTTTCTAGGTGTTACTTTTTACTCTTGGGATCCAAAGGGTTTTTTTGTTTTGTTTTTTTTTTTTTTTAAAAGGAAAACTGTAAATACAGATGTCTTCCACTAGCCCAGCCTTGCTCTCCACTTGGAAATAAATAAATAAATAAATAAATAAAATAAAAACAACAATAAAAATAACAGAAGAGCTTTGAGAAAACCCTCGTTCAGGTTTCCTGTTTGATTTCGTAACCCCAAGCAGATTCAGGACCATCTGAAACACAGCAGCCCAGCCCCAAGCCAGACCTCCTGCTGAAGCTCTTTCTATCGGCTTTCTGATGTAAGGAAGCCCCCAGGCCGGCATCCTTCCCCTTCCCTGCTCCGGGATTTCAATCTAGATTTATAGTACTTGTGCATCRTTGTTTATTGGGAAGAATGGAGTTAGAATTTGGAAGTTCAAACCTCTGGATTCCCTGGCAAAAGAAAATCATCAGTGGAGGTTTTTATTAAAAAACTAAAACATTTTAATTACATCAGTACATTTTTTTCCCTTCGTTTTATTTCATAGGTAACATCCGTGTTTTTCCTTTTATTTCCTCACTTAGGAAGTGCTACAATTTTCCACAAAAATTCTAAATGTCATTGGTTTTAGTCACTGGCAGGCTGAAAAACATACGTGTGTGTGTCTGTAATGCTTTTTTTCCCCAACTCACGAGACTAAAATGGCTCCATTCCTTTAAAAAGGCCCCAAATGGTTCAGCAGGTAATTAGTCTACATTTCTGTGAAAACCCAGCATGTTCCCCACTTCTTGGGTTGCTGGAACTTGGTTCTGCCCTGATTTACACCCACATATTCTAACTGGAAATGTGAAAGACATTACTGTCAGTCAAAATGACAGAAAATAGAACAAAACAAAAAAAGTCCRGTATCTTAGTAAGTCTAGACGGTGACTATTTAGAAACACGAGCCAAATTCAGAGAACTGGTTCTGTACTAAAATATCAAGCTCCACATGCACTTGTTTCCCCTGCAAACAAGCAAAGGAAACTGCTCAACAGAGACCTGTCACCTTAACATACTATCTTGTATAAACTCCAAGTTAAGGAACGTGCCTCGGAGCAGAGGCAATATATTCTAGACTGGCTTTCATTCAGGTCTGTTCATTGTATTCCTTATCAYTGGGATTTTTTTCCACCCTATCGARAGCGATGTCTGTTGCTTGCAACTACCTGAGCAGTTGGGTGACACCTTTCCTGCATAAGCAAAATGTTTGCACAGAACCGTGCTGGGTGTGAGACCACGGTGTAAACAGCGTCTCCGATGAAGGGACACACAGCAGCTCAGAGCTTGTGGTGTGGAAGCTTCAGCGCCTTCCCTGCTTTTTCTCCTGCGCTGTCTTGGGCAGAGAGGCGTGCATTTTGGAGAGCAGTTTCCTTGCCCAGTGTATTTAGAAACGGGCTAATGACACCGCACCCTAAATAGCAGCCTGATGTGCAGGGCAGGATTTATGGGCACCGCCAGTCCGTGGAGCAGCAGCAGTTCAAGGAAGTTTTCAAACTGCACTAACCTGCAGACTTGGAAGTCAACTTTCACATTCCCTTAAGTGCAACTACTTTAAGTGGCTTGTTCTAATAAAAGTTACATCTTTGAAGTCTCTGTATAAGGAAAAGACCATATACCCTATGGAAAATCTGTGGCTTAAGTAATCAGGAACCTTGTTATACTGGCAAATTTAGGGAAATGTAGGCGTGCTGTATGTATGTATRTATGCAGGTGCTAGGGACAATCCGAATGCCACTGATTGTAACACAGATGTTGTTAGCAGTTTGTAATTTTATTTTTTTCACGGAGGCAAGAAGAGGCTGAGCAGCCAGGCTGCTCTGCCCGGGGCTGCGGGCCAGCCCTGCGCTGAGCTCAGCGCTGCTCGTCCCTCCTCTGTGCGTGGCCGGAGGCTGCAGGGAGGCGGCGCGGGAGGCAGGAGGCAGCTCCCGCGGGCGCAGCTGCGTGGGTAGGACAGAATCTGCCGTGCGGCTCCCGGGGGTCATAGAATCGTAGAATCACATGGGTCCGGCCTGCGCTTCATGGCCACGAGCAGCCAGAGCCTGACTCACGCAGGGTCAACGTGACTTAGACTTATGGACACGCTGGGGACGGGTGACTCACGGCCGAGGAACTGCCGGGCCGCAGTTATGCACCCAGGGGTGCAGCAGGATTCAAACTTTTTTRCTTTTTTTTCTCTGAGATGATATTTGTTTTCTCAGCAAAGCTGAGCTGCTAAAAATGAATGTGACAGTTAATGCTAGACAGGTGACAGGATGGTGTCCCAGCCTGGCTGTTGGTGCCATGTGAGGGGACGGTGTCCCGGCCATTGGGGCTACGTGAGAGGACAGTGTCCCAGGCACTGGTGCCATGTAAGGGCACGGTGTCCCTGCCTGGCCATTGGTGTGATGTGAGGGGACAGTGCCCCAGGCATTGGTGCCACGTGAGGGGATGGTGTCCTGGCCATTGGTGCCATGTGAGGGGACAGTGCCCCAGGCATTGGTGCCACGTGAGGGGACGGTGTCCTGGCCACTGGGGCTACGTGAGGGGACGGTGTCCCGGGCATTGGTGCCATGTGAGGGGACGGTGTCCCCGCGCATCCGCTGGCACTCCCTCCCAGCGGCAGTGGCGCCGCGCGGTCTCTGTCACCGCGTTTCGCCCTTGCAGACACTGCCAGCGCCGGGAGAGGCGCAGCCCGGCACGGGGGCTCGCGGGGGGCGCTGAAGATGGCGGCCGGGCCCGTCGGCCCGCAGGCGCCATGGCAACGCGGGAGCAGACGAGACGGGAGCAGACGAGACGGGAGGAGCGGCCGCCCCGCCCGCGGGAGGCCCCGCTCTCGGTGGCGGCGGCGCCGCCCTCCCCCAATAGGGAGGCGGGAGGCGGGGGCCATGTCCCGGCATGCAGCGCGGCGGCCGCCTCGCCTCCCGCCCGCGCCGCTAAGATGGCGACTCCCATGCACCGCCTCATCGCGCGGAGACAGGCGTGAGTGCGGCGGGCGGCCGGGCCCCGCGCGCCCCCCCCGGCCCCCCCTCCACCCCCGGGCTCTTTTTGGGGGCTCCTTCCCGCCCCCAGGCTCTCTTGGGGCWGTTCGTGCAGCGCGGCCCCCCCTCGCCGGTGCCCGCGGCAGTGGCGGCGGGGCCGGTTGGAGCCGGCGGCGCTGGGGGTCGGTTGGGCCCCGAGGCCGAAGGGCCCCGTGTTTCCCCTAGAAGTCGCTCACGGGTTTGCGGGCCCGTCCTGGGGGAGCTGGAGGGGCTAGGGGGGCTTGGGAGAGGGAAAACGTTTGTGTGCTCTTGTCGCTTAAAAASGAAGCGGAACGGAAAAAATAACGCCCGTGTGCTGTACTGCAGGTGGTTTTCTCCGTGTTTCTTAAGTAGTTGCAACGCTTGGCGGTTTAGTAAAACCCCAGCCGTGAAGTGACCCCCGAATGGAGCTGCGGTTGTTGGCAAGGGAGGGGATCTCCCCGTGGACTAAAGCTCCCGTGTCCGCCCGGGTCGCGGCGGGGCTCGGGCTGCAGRTCGGGGCCAGCGCTGCGGTACGAATGACTTCCAGGCTCGCACGGTGGCGTTCCGAGGGAAGAGGCAAGAGCCCTTCCTTGCTCAGTGTTGCTTGTTGGCTTCGAGTAGCTCTCCAAACATCGGGGATCTGATTGCCAGACACTGGAAGGAGGAAAAGCCAGTGGTTTTGGTTATTGGCATTAAGTACAGCAAACGCCTGTGTTTTGTTGTTGTCCTGTTTTAGGTGTTTTGTTCTGCTTTTTTTTTTTTTTTTTTTTTTTTTTTTTTTTTTTTTTTTAATGGGGTGCTCTGTTTGGGGGACTTTTGTTGTTGCGGTACTCATTGCTTCCTTCCAACCTTAAATATTCTGAAATATTCTGAAATTGCTTCTAAATGTCGCGAACAGACCCAAAACAATGTGGATGGTTTTTGATTTCTTTTTACTTTCTCATTAGCTAATGTAATCCCTTTCCTACCTTTCTGGTAGAAAATATACTCAGGATTTCAAATTACTTGCAGTATATTTGATCTTTCACATTGCTATTTTATTTTGTTCGTGGAATTAAATCTCAATTTCTTGTTATGTCCCCATGTGCCTGATGGGAACATGCAAGTTGTATGTCTACCAACATTTGCTTCTAGGTGGTGATRATTGATTTGTGCTATACATTTGCTTTAGTCTTGAGCTTTTCAGTAGTATTAAAACTTGTCAGTATTTGTTTTTTATCTGTATCTAAATGTGTAGCTATTGAGCTATTTGGTTCTGTTCTTCCTGGTAATTATGTTGCTTTTAGATTCTTGGTGAGGTGAGCAGCATTAGAGCCTTGGCTTGTACAGTTGCATTCTGTAAAGCTGAAAGCTCTGCCAGTTGGGTTTATCAAAATGGGATTTGGATGATAGGGCTGATCACTTTTCGCTGAGAGAATGGTCCTGTTAACATCCTTCAGAATGTTTGGGTTGCTTAAATATTGGGAAGGGATGGGAGTTTTCAGAATCTTAAGCGTGGGAGAAGGTTGCAAGTTAGGCTGCCCAGAAGCTTTTAGAAAACTGTAGTGAAATTTAGGTGTAGTGGATCAGTGACAGCTGATGTCACTGGTTCAGTATTTGCTATTTCAGCAGAAGATAACTTAGGCTGGAACTCTGGAATAGAGGAAGCGACTCTGTTTGCTTCGATATGGGACTGTTTTATTAACTGGGARAGCCAGTGCCTGGCAAAACTCAGTATGTACCTTCAAACTTGTACCTCTCCAGTGTCTGATGTTACTGTTCTTGTCCCGATTCAGGATATGTAGTAACTAAAGCACCCATGGATGTCGGTCTGGTTTAATTATGATCGTAACTGTATATGCTCTGAAGAATCCATATGCTAAAAAATAATTCATATTTTTTCAATAGGTAGAACAGACTTGGAATCAGTCACTTAAGCAATTCTACATTTTTGTAGGGAGGCAAACAAGCAGCATGTAAGRTGTCAAAAATGTTTAGAGTTTGGCCACTGGACGTATGAATGTACAGGGAAGAGGAAATACCTGCACAGACCTTCGAGGACAGCTCAATTAGCGAAAGCTCTTAAAGAGAAAGAAAAGCAACTATTGCTGCAACAAAGGTAAGATTGGCAGGGTAAAAATGTCCCGTTTGTAAATAAATACTTCTTTTTGTATGGGGGGGGGGGGGTGAAAGATAGTGTCCTAGATCCTTTGTGTTCTTTCAGTTTGTGTGATACATATTAACACTAAAACTGTTCTCTGCAGCAGGCACTCAGGTCTTACAAAGTCAAGGGGCTGTTAGTTAGCACCTGCTTGTTTAAAATAGGCAGACTTATAGTGCGTTTTGAAATGCACAAAGTGCACTAGGCTAACACTAAAATAGTTGGAAGCATAATGTGATGGAGTACTGTTTCCTGCTCGTYTTATAAAGGGATGACTAAATATCTCCTAGATTGGGCTAGATTCATACTCATTGCACAGCCATAAGCCCATTAACTGTGTCTTGAGGCATCCAGTTCCCTAGATATTAATATCATTTTCAATATCTTTCATATCACTTATTCCTTGTGGAAAGAACAACTTATTAGATCATGTTTTTATATTTTTATAGCTTGTGTTGAAATGTTAYTTCTTACCTGTGCAGAAGTCGGGTCTCATGCTAGTGCTGCTCCTGGTTGGCTTCTGAATGTTTGCATCATCTTTAAGGGTTTAATATCATCAAGCAGAATGTAAACACAATGTAATAAGGCTCTGTTATTTTTCTAACAASCACTTGCGCGATTTTTTAGTGTTAACTTATTTCAACAGTTGATCCAGAATCCTTCTGCCCAGTAGTGATCCCATAGTTCTTGTTACAGAGATTTAGCTTAATACATTCAGAAAAGCTTGTTGCTTCCCCATCCTAGAGTAGGAGCAGGGATGAAAGATGAGAGAATGTTTATTCCTTCGTAAAATCATTACACTGAAGTAGAGCTGGAAAGCTTGGGTTTTATCTGTGGTTCTGAGAGCAGAGTGTGGCACTGAAGAGAGTATGTAACCAAGCACAGTGAAACGGGTCTGCTGACCTGCAGGGATTGACTTTTTCCAGTTGTGTAGCTCCTTGAAGGAGTGAACGACTTTGTTTATGCAGATGTTAAACGCTAGAGGGTAGCAAAGACCTGTGCCATGCTAGCTAGGCTAGCATGGCACAAAGTTAGGTCCTGCCTTCTGGAGGGTGTTTTTTATTCTCATTGCATCTACCCACAGTGACCTTGCTCAACCTCTGGCCTGTGGAGGAGCTTGTTACCTATAATAAGGGTGTATGGCCTTAATAAGACAAATAGTAAAAATAATCAGTAAGATGGGAGGGATAATATCCTGGTTCCAAGTTCAATGAAACTTCCTCCTGCCTACAAAGTACATGTAGGAGGTGCTCTTAAAGACAATTATATACCAGATACATGAAAATAGCTAATGTCACCTGAGTGTATGAGTGCCCGAGAATCTGAAGGAAAAACAACTGAACAGCATGAATAAAGCAGACTATTCTGCCTTTATTGTACTTGAGAGACTGATTTAGTCTCTTGACCCTTTACTTCAATCCATTCAGTCACTGCTGACTGTGAGTGTGCAGAATTTTTTTTATCTTTCTTCCCACTGCTTTTCTTATCCCAAATTGATGTCGTCCCTCTAATATGAAGCATAAAGAAGAGTAAATTAGGGGGGAACTGCAAGTTCCTTTTCCTGTATTTGAAAGGATTCTTTTCCTTCTGAGTTGAGAAGAGATTGAAAATATAAAGATGCCAAATGATCTTTGGGGCAGTGCAGCTCTTGCTGATRAGATAGCAGTTTTCTAATACAGAACTGAGGTCTGTTGTGCTGCTATTTATTTTCTTACTGCATTAATCAAAACTGTTGTTTTTCCTCCCTTAACTAGCACTGGAGAAAGTACTGCAGAAAGAAAAACCAACAAAAAAAGGTATGTGGGGAACAATAACCAATTGTGTAGCTATTTCAGTGTATGTCTTGCACTCATGATTGCAGTTAGCAACTTGAAGGGGTGTGTGGGGAAAYTGAGTGCTGCAAATGCAGATTTCATTTTACTGCTTTTAGCCTATTTCGGCCTTTTGAAAGACAGATATTTGGTGAGTTTCTTGTCTCTMTCCAAAAGCTCTAAATCTTGTCTTTTGCTTTCTTCCTTACTGCTCGTTCTATCTGTTATGGTCTTGCTTTAATAGCAAAAATKTTCCTGTTTCTGCCTCAGAGTTCATGTAAGGTACTTTAAACAATTGTGCAAGAACAGCACACTGTTTTCTAATCTGCAATCACTCCACCTACCCATCGTGCTCTTCCTTTTGTTCTGTTTGTTCCCTTCTCTTCACAACCATCTGCCTCAGAAAGTTTGTATAGAGAATAGTGTGGTGTGGGATTTCTTTTTTTTTTTTTTTTTCCTAAACATAGGAACTAAATCCTCCATTCTCCTACTACCAAAAGAGAGGAGAAATCCCAGTTTGAACCAAGAACTCTTGACATAATTCCCGCTGTAAATTCGTAGTGCTGTGAGCTCCGGAATCCACTTTAGTCTTTATTAGCAAAATCCTTTCAGGAACAACTAGAACATTGGTTGCAGCAGTAGCCACGTCAAGAGTTTACCTGCAGGGGGTCACTGTGGTAACAGCCTCATTGGTCTCTTTGACCAAGTTGGCTGTCCGCATCTCCAAATCCTGCTTTGTAAAAAACCTCTTTGCAATTTTTTTCTTAGACTGGACCTTTTGTTTTGCATGTCAATCATTAAATAGGCCAGAGTAGTTTCTTTAAAACATGCCTTTATTTTAGGCTATTGTGTTGTGTGGCTTTATTGGAATTCTGCCTTGCCAGGATCTTAATTCTACTGTTGGAGTAAATTTTATTGAAGACTCTTTTTTCAATAATGCCAGTTATTTGGGGAATTACTGAGGACTTGTGAGGTTGTAAATTAAATGAACTTCAAGCAATGTAATTCAAATGTCTTCCTTGCTCAGATTTCTCAAGTGCTGAAGTCCTCTATCTGACATAATTATTTTTCAGAGTATTTGAGAAGGAGGGGGAGAAAGAAAAGATTGAGGGAGCTTGTTTGACTTTTTTTTTTTTTTCCCCCATTAAAATCTTACTTTGAGGTTTGATTTGTTATCTTGTCTTTATACAAGCCCAGAATCATCAATATAATTCCTTTCCAGATTATATGCAGCTTTTCTACTGTGATGCAGGAAGAATTAAATACTTAAAACTCTGTAAAGTATTTCCATTGAATATGTAAATTCCAGGCTAAAGAAATGCAAAAACTAAGATCTTGCAGTGAGCACTAACCTTTTGCATACTGTATGTTTGTTTTGATATAAACAGTAACAACTAACCTACAGGCTTAACCAGAAAAACAGGAATAGGCAAAACTGCTGTTAAAGCCTTGTACCTTAGGTGGCACAGGGCTTTGTTCTGGGCACATCTTAGTTTCCTCTATGGTTYCTATATGGGGCTTTGGTTCTGAAGTGAAAGCCCCTTCACGCTTGCCTCACATCTAATCTTACTTGTCTTAAAAGTAAAATCTTGTCCTAATTCATTTGCTCCCAGAGGCCCCTGGCTGTGATTGTGCCCAAAGATGCAGCTTTGATTTAAGTAGTGTTYAAAAGCATCACCACCTTCTTGGCAGGGGATGCCTGTAGAACTAGAAAGGACAAAGCCTTGGAGAAGTGTGGCAGAAAGCAGGCAGAACTCCAAAACCAGCATTTGGGGCCTCTCGTTCCCTGGCTGGTTCCTCTGTCAGTGGGCCTGCACCTGAGTGAAGCACCTTTGTTGAACCTGCTGCTCTGCTTAGCAGTTTCCTTCCAAAAGCCTAAATGCCCCTTCAAAATGAGTTTCTATTGTTTTTTCTAATTTTAACATTATTTTTTTTCCAACGGTAAACTTGTATTTAACCAGCCTTTGGATTTTTYTCTAAGTAATCAGCCATTATATCTGTGCTCACATAGATAGCAGATGCCATCTGTATTATGCATTTCCTGAGTTGTTACTCAGGACTTCAAATCATTTTTTTTTTCTAATAGAAAGACAAATCTAAATTATTATGTCAAGTATTTTTGCTTGCTGTGAGAATGATAGCCAGTAGTTTTAGCTGGTAGGAAGGTGGGAGTGAATCAGTACGTTTACACTGTGCTTGGACAAAGATTTTTAGGAGACAGTAACTGTATTTTCTTGGAATTCATGCTATGCTGTTCATTCAAAGATTCTGAAATAGCAAGAACAGCAGCCTTTTATAAAGACTGATTATTAATAGTAAAGCTAGTGTTTTATTGGTTTTATTGGCACAAAAAATAAATTGCAGAGCATGCAGAAATCCATAGCATATCCACTTTCCAGTGTTCATAATTCTGTCTTCATCCTGGACTTCCCCAGGGGTGGCCACCCCTTCTTCCCCACCTTGAAAGCTTAGCAGGTAGGTTGGGTTCTTTTGCCGTGAGTAATCTAAGAACAGGCTCTGAGCACAATTCCAGCAATTGTGAAGTCACTGAACAGCCACCAGGTTTAACAGAGTCAAAATTTGACTCCTTAATACAGTGATGTGCCAGAGGACTGATCTTTAATTTTTTTTTTTTTCCCTAAGGCTTTAGTAATCTCCAACATTCATATTCTTCTCCTCAGTTCTTTTAGCAAAGGCAGCGGCCATTACTATGAACAAGATCCTGGCAGCTTTCATATTTAACTCTTTCTCTCTATAGTCTTGGTTTGGCTTTTGAGTTTATTCGGGAGAATATACTTCGTGTGTGTGGTGTAATTCTGCTGTTGCTTTAATAGGGGAAAAATGCATTTGTTCAGAATGGAAGTGGGGGGTGGGAAAGGCTCGTTGTCCTTAAGCCTGAGTCAGACCTAAACATTTTCAGTCCAAATAATTGATCTTTGCATTACACCAGAGTATAAAGAACACTCTGTTTTACTGTCTCTGGCAGGCATGTTCTCATCTCTGTGTTTGCTTTCTTTCAGATCTAAAAGTGTGACAAGTTCCAGCAGCAGCAGCAGTGCCAGTTCAGCTAGTGATTCTTCATCTGACAGTGAAGATTCCTCTACCTCCTCTTCTGATGAAGACAGCGACAGTGATGAGAGCTCCTCCACTGCCTCCTCTTCTTCCTCTTCAAGTAGTACTTCCTCTTCGTCAGAGTTCGAATCAGATTCTAGTTCCTCCAGCAGTAGCAGCAGCAGCACAGACAGTAGCTCTGATGATGAGCCACCAAAGAAGAAGAAAAAGAAGTAGTTGGGTAAAGTGTAGAACTGATATTGGTGAACGAAAACATTCTTCAAAGGTGTTTTGAACACGTTATTGCCAAATGGTTTAACTGATCAACATTTCTACGGCTAAAACTTTGTAAGTGTTTTGCATAGTTGTTCATATGACARAAAAGGTATTAAATGGCATATGAGACTTACTGAAAGAGTATTTTTGTGGTTAATCCTTTTATGGAAAATTTTACTTTTTTAGTTAAAAATCTATCATCAGATTTGTTTATATGAGCTAAGATCCAGTAACCCCAATGTTTACATGATGGAAAGCAAAAGCTTTTTGTTGCAGATCATGCTGTGCATCATATACTATTATTCTGTTTTGGCAGCTTCACTTACATTTAGAAAATCCTCTAAACTGTTTAGACGCAAAAGTTTTACGCTGCTGGCTGCAGAGCACTGTCATTGTTTGTTAAAATTGAATGCTCAATGTTGCACACAAGGGACTTCCATCTCACTGTTAACAAATGTATTGTTTGCTGCTGAGCTGCTTTTTTTTTTTTTCTGATGGCTTTTCCTGATGCTTCCAGGTTAAGTCTTAATCACAATATAAAACTTTTAATAGTGCTCATTTGTTAACGATCAATATACTACTTGTCCTGTGCAAAGGCTTTAGTCTTTTCAACTTCACCTGTATCCTTAGCTTGTGTATTTGTAATACTCTGAGACAAGGAAAGTCTCTTGCAGCAGCCTCTGTGTGAGAAGGAGGAGCAATGCACAGTGGAGCAAGTGTGACTGATGCTGCTTAGGAGTTTCATCTTTGTGCCTTTTTTGTAAATTAAATGTATCCTAGTGAGAGAAGGGCTTGAGTGGTGTCTTTCAAAACTCCGTTAGCTTTCTGTACAGAATATGGTCGATAAAACTAGAGACATAGTAGGAACATGCAAAAACGGGCACTATTTTCACAGAGAGAGGAGAGAGGGGCTATTTTCACTGGATGTCCTGTAAGAAAAGGAGTCGCCTTTAGAGTTCCTGAAGGAAGGTATTTCTCTTGATATTTTTGCAAAAAAAAAGCTGTTGTGTAATACAAGATTATCAAACCATGATGTTGGATACATGGTGACTGACCTTATAGTCTGCAGTATTATCGGTCTGTTATTTTTATGTGGTAAAGTGTGCACGTGTCTGTGAAAATCTGGCATGAGAGAGCAAGTTAGTGCAAAAAAAATCCAAACATAACTGCGGAACACTTATTGCTGGTTGCAAAATGAAACTAATTTACTCTTGTGGTGGATTTAAGCAGTTGGCATTAGTATTTTAATTAGTGATGCAGTCTCCTGAATTTCTTAGTGTTGGCGTTCCCTTTTTTTGGGAGGGGGCATCACATATGGAAGAAATCTTAAATATCCTGGTTTATGTAAAATATAGTAACTATTTTTATATTTTTATGGGAAAAAAGTAGCGTGTAGAATTACTTTTGAATAAACTGTGCTTATATTTAAATGTTTGAAAATATGTACGTTGTATGTTTTAGTCTGTAATCATTACTGTGTCTTACAGAACACTGCAGACTGTAAATAAAATTACCAGGAAATTGTTAAGTCCTCTTGAGCAAATGTACCATTCAGTGGGAAAAAGTTAATAAATTATTAAACAATATTTGCAAAGCTTGTACTTCTTGTAAATTCGAAGTGAAGTGACATAGTAGCAGTTAAGTGGGGAAATAAATCCCGCTGGGAGATGGGGCAGTTTCTCGTGCAGCGTGGGCAGGAGGTGCCGGCTCTGAAGCCACTGTGTGGGTAAGTTCCTGCCGCTGGGGCCCGGGAGCGCGGCACAGAGCCTGGCCTGGGCAAGGCCAGGCTTGCTGGGGCTGCTGTTCAGGGACTGCACAGGAGCAGTGYGGAGAGGGGAGCTGTGATGGGGAACGGCTGCTCAGAAGGGAGAGGGTTGATTCTGAACTGTCTTTGCCACGTGCACAGTCATTTTTTTTGGTGTTGGAGGGCTCCATGTGAAGTGGTTTCCTGAAATCTCTGTTCACACGCAAGTATATTTTTTCTCTTCGTTAAGCTGTCTTTGCCAGGTAGAGCTTAAGATCCGTAGCAACTGTTAAGTACTAAAGCAAGCCATTAAATTTGGGCGTTTGGTTTCTTCATGCGTCCGGTTACCTTTAGTATCTGCAGTCAAAGGGGTGCAGTTGTGCGGTTTATAAAGGGAAACACTTGCATAAGCTAGGTTCTCTCAGCAGGGCCTAGGATAAAATAATATAATTACAGATGACATTAAGGAAACCTTACTTTAATATCTGGTCTGCTGTTGACTCACAAGCTGAGGTTTTAAGAGGCAGTTCACTGCTTTCAGTGGGTTTGGTATTGTCAAATACCAGTCAAGTCTGAGACCAGCTGTAAGCTGCTCTGTACTCGCATTTAAAAAAAAATAAAATAAAAATTCACTGAATTTGAATTACCCTTTCATTTGTCTCTGCACATTTGTATTTTACAGAGAAAATAAAAACCACTAGCCTGGCGAGCCTTACCAGTTCATCTTCCAGTACATCGCATTGGTATTGCTTACAGCAAGATGCTTCAGTGCTGGTTGTTTTCTCATCGGGAAAGGTATTTCTTGAATTACTGTCTTCTAAAGCTCTAAGTACAAAATATCACTATCTTACAAAACGAGCACTAACTAGAGATTGTTCTATTTACCAGGCAGTTACATGAGACTTGTGTGGCTCTAAACAGCCTYGGTTTAATCCTTCCCCGGCAAGTAAAACTGCCACTGCTAATTGAAKTGAAGCAATTGATGCAGTCTGGTAGAAAAACAGCCCCGGGAAAAGGCATCGCATTTCAAGGAGAAACATTGCTAACCATGGGAGAGCGAAAGGAGGCCAAGACAACCTGATCTTCTAGTCTAGACCTTTATTAAATTGAACATCTGTCAGAACCAGGAAGAGGTTTTTGGGTGCCCTAAATGAAATCATGTTACAGTCATTAGAGATTCATGGTTTTTATATATATATATATATATATATATATATTTAGGAAGAGTCCTTAATAAATAGAGATTTTGCTATCAAATAGATTGGCTTTAAAGGAAATGATTCAATGTACCTTTGCCTTATGGATTTAATTTGGTTTATAAATTTGTGCTTGTATATATTTTTAACCAGACACGTGATACAGATTTTCATAGTTTAATTTTGAGATATGCAAATGTGTATGATAATACAATGTACAATACAGAAGATAAGCTTGACTGTTGAAAATGGCACCAACAAAACATCTTTTTAAAAACATTATATACATCTGTTAGGAAGTTATTTATTTTTAATTTTCTGCTCCTCTATGATAAAGTAGTACTTTCTCAAATGAGTTCTCTGCTCCCTAACCACTAATATAAAGTACCTGAGTCTGTTTTCAAATGTCAAATAATCCATTAAAATGTATTAGAAATTTTGATTAATTGGATCAAAAAAGGAAGTTTTTATTTTCTCTCCTGGTTCCTGTAATCAGCGTATCTAAATATTTAATCAAAGAGACAGCTTAAGATGAGAGGTCCCATTTTAAAAACGGGGAAAACTTGCACAAATCTGAGACGAACTGAAGCGGGATGAGAGAATTGAAGGGTTAGAGGGCACTGACAACCTGATGACTGGTGAAGATCTGGTAATTACCTTGCATGCCTAAAATGAGATTTTTATCCCAGAATCTGAGGAAATGGCRCCCTTCACAGGTTGGTTCTGAAGTCCTTTTCTAAAAATAAACTAAATTTATTTATTAAATTTATTTATTTGTTTTTTCACTAGCAGTACATGACATCAAAAGTAAGCTGTATTTGATATCATGGTTGCGGGACAGTGAAGCGAGATACTGCTGTGAATTTACCCAAAGTCTCAAAAAAGAGTCAGGAAACTTTAACATAACGTTAAATACAAGATTAGATAGTTTAATTTGAAAGTATTCGCTTTAATATGGTGTGTTGCTCGCTTAAAGTGCGTTGGTGAGGGCGCTAGTGCTGTGCGTGTGAGGAGGCCTGYGGGGGGGCGGCAGGGGCCTTGCCCCGCGGTCCGTTGGGCTCCATTGGGCTCCGTTGGGCTCCGTTCCGCTCCGTTCTGCGGTTTGTTACGTAAGCGGCTGCCCCACGATTCCTTCTGCCGCCGCGTGGGACAGCAGCTCTGGGGTCTCTGGGCCCGGACACCCTCGTAGCCAAGGCCCCGCGGGGGGCAGCCACCGTGAGTCGCGGCCATGGGGAGCCCTTCACCCCGGCGCCACGGCCGTGGGGTGCCCTTCGCCCCGCTGCTGTTCGTGCCCGTCCCTGGGGGGTGCTGAGGGCTTTTGGCCAGAAACTGGGAACAAAACTGTGCGCTGCCTCGTTCAAGGGCTGTGCCTCGCTGCCCTGCCTCGTGCCGAGGGCTGTGACCGTCCGTGCGGCTGAGGGCAGCGAGTGTCCCCCTCGCTGCGGGGCAGGGAGCTCGCCCCAGGCGCCCGGCTGCGTTGGCAGAGGGAGATTTTTGGCCGTTTTGGTAATGGAAAACGGTCCCCGGGCGGCGGGGGGCGATGACTAACGTCTCCTCAGGCGCGGCAGCCGCTCGCTCCGCCTGGGCAGCGCGAAGCGAGGCGCGGGGGGGCTGTTTGGGAAGGAGTTTATGGGAACGAATAAGATCTCGGGCCTCGTTTACCACGCGTTTGGGCGAGAGGGAAACGGGAGGGGCGCCGCTAACGGCCGCGGGGGCGGGGCCGCCCGGTACGTCACGAGCCGCTCCCCCTCCCGCCGGTACGGGGCGGTGTCACGTGCGCGGCGGCGGGGCGGGGCGGCGCGGGGGCTGCCGGGTAATCCGGCTGCGGGAGGAGGCCGCAGCGGGCGCGGGGCGCGGAGCGGCTGCCCGGGCCCACGTCGCCGCCGCCGCCACCCGCACGGGGCCGCGCGGCCCCGGCCGCCATGGAGCCCTGCGGGGCCGCCCGCCTCTGCCGCCCGTGAGCCGCGCGCCCCGGCACGGCGCCTCGCCGCCTCCCTCCCTGCCCCGCCTCGCCTTGGCCGGGCCTACCCGGCCGCTCCTGCCGCCCGTGGCGCAGCCGGGACATGGTGCGGGCCTAGCAGCGGGAGCCCAGGTGAGACGCGGCCCGTGCGCAGAGCGGGGCGGCCTCGGCGGGCCGGGCCGAGAGGAGGAGGAGGAGGAGGAGGAGGAGGAGGAAGGGGGGCGGCCCGGCCCGGCCTGGCCCAGTCCGGTCTGGTCCGGCCCGGCCCGCAGCAGCCCCCGCTCCTCAGGGAGGCGAAGCCCCCGCGGCACCTGCGGGAAGAGCGGCCCGCGGGGCCGGCGCGGCGCCTTCCCGCGGCCGCCGAGTTTAATCCCGTCCCTCTCATGGGCGTCAGGGCTTTGTTCCTTCCTGCTCGGCCCCTGCCGCYGAGGCTGCTCGGGGGCGGCCGCGGCCCTGGCCCCGCGCGTGGGACCGGCAGCGCGGAGGCCGCCCCGGCTGCCGACGCATCCCTCGAGCGCGTGGCCGTTATGTAAATCGTCCGTGGCCAAGAGTTGGGTTTGGTAGCCCAGACAGCAGCGTCTTCGGTTCCTTGAGTGAAGGAGGATGGGTCCCTCTCTTCACGAGCCCAGAAACGCTTTGAAACTTGTCCTTTGTGCACTTACAATAGCTTTTCAATCCAACGTTTATACCTCAGGTACAGCCTGAAAACCTGTTGTCCCGATGCAAAGACAGTTCCGCTTGGCGAGCCCGGGCTGCCCTGTCCCAGCCCCGCCGGGCCCCCGGCTCCRTCGGTCACTGTGTGTGAAGCCTGCGGTGCTCTCGAACGTTCACGGTTGCAGGGCGGTGAGCGCCGCCTCCCCTCGCGYTCTGCCGTGAGCCCAGCGGGCACCTAGCCCGGCACTGTGCCTTTGAAACYACTTCGTTCTCTTCAACCATCTACCTTTATTTTTCACGGTGTTGTTTTCAAATCCCTGCTGGTCGTTGCGCTTCTCACGAGTGTGTTTCTGATTTCCTGMGTTTCTCTAGAACTTCTGGATACTTCCCTTAAATCCCTGAGATGGATTGCCATGGAGCCCGGGGCGTTATTGTGAAATAAGGTCCAGTCAAGTGATTTGAAGGAGTGGTTGGAAACTCGGTTTGTCATTTAGTATCTTGTGTGATGAGAGCAACGTTATTAAAGCTGCGGTTGCTCTTGTGTCCTCTGCCTCAGCGAGGTGTGATTCCTGCAAGTGTGCGCTCACACACGTAGGGCAGGCCCTAAATGTGTGCCGGGCTGGCACRGAGGTATGTCACGCTTGTAGTGATAATTCTGCAGCTTTTATTTATTTATTTATTGGTCATTAACAGGAAATGCATTTTTCCTAGCAGGCRTTATTAATATATTGGCTTTATTGACATAGCAGTTTTGTTACTCAGTTATGATTTCCTAGCCTCTGAGCAACATGTTGATACCTTTGTACAAGAGCAAATTCTTTCCTTTTGAGCTGTTTTGCCAGACATAAAAGAACAGAGTAAATTTCAACTCCAGTCTCAGAAATGGTTTCAATTCCCTACAGTTTTCTTTAAAGATCTTTCCAGTTCTCATTTTGCCACCTTTCTCATGTACAGTTCTCATTTTGCCACCT